TTTTTTTTTTTTTTTTTTTTTTTTTTTTTTTTTTCTTTTTTTTTTAAGACAGTCTTGCTCTGTCTCCCAGGCAACAGTTCAGTGGCCTGATTTTGGCTCATTGCAACCTCCCCCTCCTGGGTTCAGGCAATTCTCCTGCCTCAGCCTCCTGAGTAGCAGGGACTACAGGTGTGCACCACCACACCCAGCTAATTTTTACATTTTTAGTAGAGATGGGATTTTCCCATGTTGGCCAGGCTAGTCTTGAACTCCTGACCTCAGGTGATCAGCCTGCCTCAGTCTCCCAAAGTGCTGGGATTACAGGTGAGCCACCATCCCTGGCCTCTTCTCTCACACTTTCCCACTGCCGTCAGCACAGCGATGTTTTAAGAGAAAAGACTCCTGGCTGCCTTTCTTCTTGGCTTCCAACTCTTCTCCCCTAACCGGAAAATGTGTTGTTCTTTCTTTCCAGACTGGACCCTCATCCAGCCCATTCGCCTCCAAGCCTCCAACCACCAACCCCTTCTTGTAGCACTGTGTTTTTTTGGGGGTGTCTTCCCTGCCTTCTGGGGTCCCTCTGCTCCCTAGAGCTCTCATGACCATTTGCCTGTGGGCGTTTCTGTGGGCCTTGGGGATAATGGAGGTGCTAATGCTTTGCTTGGGGCCTGCAGGTGAAAGGTAGCTGTCCTTAGATTCCACAAGGCCTCTGCCCCTCCCTTCTCCCACACCTACCCAAGCAGGAAGCCCAGGAGGAGTGGGGGCAGGGTTTGGCCTGGAGGAGTGATGGGGGGATTTTTTTCAAAAGATCAGTTAGAGTAGCCCTCCTTCTCCCCTGCCCTCGAAGCACTGTGCTCCCCTGCTCCCAGCCCCGTGGGCAGAAGACGTTGTGGACACAGACTGGCCAGCCTTCCCCTGTGGGAACAGCTCTCCCCTCGGCCCAGCTGTGCTCCTCCTGGACGGGAGCTCAGTGGGGAGGGTGGGGGAAAGACAGGCACAGTATTGATGGGGCAGTGACCAGACAGTCCTGAGACCCAGAAGGCCTGGGTGGCCCAAGTGCTCTTGGTGACCCAGCTTGGCCAGCACACCCTTTCCTCCTGCCCCCACCCCTTACTGAAGGGGTCCTCCATTGTTTTGCTTCCCCAGCACCCCTCCCTCATCCTGGGCGCCCGGGTGAGCAGTTTACCTTCGAACTCACCCAGGCCTGGCAGTCCTGTCAAGCACTTTAGTTAGCCGTTGGTGTCATGTTTGGATACCAGTGTTTTATATTTATATAGAGAAGATTTTCTAATATAGCCTATTATATATAAATAGATCTGTCTATATGCACATACATACATATATATATACACCCAGCCGATCTCCCTCTCCCAGACAGCTCTCGTATGTGGGGAATGGGATGAATCCCCATCTGTGCCTCGACCATCAAAGTCAGAGCTCCATGGCTGGAGTGGGGCAGCCACCTGTCCTGGCCCCCATCAGCCCCAGAGCCTGGGTTTTCCAGGGAAAGGCTTTGTGCAATTGCCTGGTCTTTTATGTTTTTCTCCACGTGCCTCCTCTGTCCCCAGATCTCTGCACCAAAGCTCATTGCAGGTAATGTTGGAAAAGAACTGCATTTGAACGAAAGAGAAAATGGCTCTCATGGTTTTGCTTCAGGGGCTGCAGGTCAGTCAACATGACAGACCCTTGACCTGGCTCTGCTGGGCTGGACTGCCTGGGCCAGTGAGGTCGCTGCCATTGACCAGAGACAGGGCAGAAGCTGTCCCTATCTGGACCAGAGTCCTGCATTAGCAATGGGAAGAAGCGTGGCAGGAGAGGGGCCGCCACTGCCGGGGACTGGAGTTTGATGTGAGCAGGAGTGCCCTCTGGGGCCGGGGTGGGTGAAGGAGGTTGGTGCCAGCGTGGAAGTGGAAGTAGATCCCTCCTGGGCCTGGGACATTCTCTGCCCCGGGCTCTTTCCACCTGAGGATGTTGTGGCAACAGCCATGGTGCCTGGGCTATTTGTGTGGTGACAAGACAGATCTGGTCAGGGGTGGGTGGCAAACACCTCACCTGGCTGGGCAGAGGCCACCTTGCTGTTTGGCCCAAGGCCAGGAGAGGCCCCTCCCTTTCCACCATTGCCCTGGCCCCGTGGCTGTTCATTCTTGGGGTTTGGGTCTTCTATGGAGAGAGGGCAGCAAGGAGATGTGGGAATTGGGTAATCAGTGTATTTACTTTGCAGATTTTTCGGGAAATACCTCTAGCTGCTGCTATTTGCAGGGCCGGCCTTGGCCTCCCTGTCTTTTCTGAGAATCAGCACCTGGCCTGTCTGTTCCTATTCTTCTCCTAGCCTCTGCCCTCCTTCGGTCTCCTGGGTGGTCCCTGGGTCTCCCACCATACTTCGCTCTCTGGCCTTTGTGTGTTCCAGCTCTTCCCCTTCTCTGCCACCCTAGATTAGTATCTCTGTGTACCTCTACCTCATCCTCTCACCAGTTCTTTCTGCTTAGAGCAGGAGGGAGGGAAGCTGAAATCTGTTGTGGTGTGTTAGGAGGAGCCTTTCTGTTCTTTCCCCCCAGCTTCCGTTAATCTACCCTTATGCCAGGAACACTGAGGTTTGGAACTGAGGCCGAACCAAAGGGCCTGCCTGTTTCCATCACCCATGCTGGCTCCCGGCATCTCCTCGCTGTCTGGGTCCAGTCCCGGGTCCTCCCTGCAGATTCCCTCCCCTCTGTCCCACAAAGACTCCAGCCTGCTCGCTGGCCAGAGCTAGATGACCAGTCAGAAGTTACACCAGGTCAGCCTGAGGCCCAGGTTTCCCTGAGCACAGGCTGATACTAGGAGCTGCCCTCCTTGGCTGGGGACAGCCCAGCACCTCAGGCTCCAGCCCTCCAATGAGCTGCCTCTCCTGGAGAGTAGCAAAGAATGGAGAAGCCCTGGCCTGATAGGAAAGGTAGAAATCATTGCCCGGTAACTGCAAATTCAAGCCCACCATACATACCACAGGGCTGGAGTGACTCACCTAGGCTCACACCGGACTTCTGGCCAACTCAGGGACCATGCTCTGCAGACAGCAGTCATCTAGCATGGCCCCAGCATTCAGCTGGTCACCTGCGGACCATCCCTGCAGGTGAGGAAGCAGGAGCCAGCCCCCAGAGGTCTCCACGTTGGAGCTTGCAGGTCAGACCCGCAGGCCAGAGGATGGGAGCAGGGCTAAGGGTAGGGGCTGAATGTGTGGCTCTGTCCCTGCATCACCTTCCAGAGAGGAGCAAGGGCTCCGACTGGGGAGGGAGGAGCACGCTGGAACAGCCTTGTTTCCCCCATGAATCCCCCCAACCCCATGACATTCCTCCATAGGGGCAGAGAACACAGTGACCTGTCCCTAACAGGGATGAAAGGTGGACCCCTCAGGTTGGGAGAGGCAGAGCTGAGGTTCTGCCACTTTCTGTCCCTGGGGAGTCACTCAAGTTAACAGAGCTACCGGCTGAAATAAATCTTGTCGGGGTGTAGGGCTGCAGAGGGCAGCATGTTGCCAGGGCAACTGATGTAGGCCAGTTGCGTCAGTCCAGGCTTGTCCTGGAACTCAGCGGGCCCAGTCACCAGGCACTGATCACCTGGCATTGATCAGCACCCACCCCTGAGGCTTACCCGGGCCCTCAGATCCGTGCCTTTCCTACCTGTGCACACCCAGCACCCAAGGTTCAATGACACAGTGGTTTGGAGCTGGATGCTGTCACAGCAGCTGTGATTTTACAAGGAAGGGTGCTGCAGGCAGACTTGGTTGATGAGGACTGGGAAGGGCAAGCTATAAAGAGATCTTCCTCGGGTAGCTTCAAGCTTTGGGGAGTCGAAAAGGCTCCCGGGCTGGGAGTGCAGCAAGGACAGGGGCCCTTCGGTGGCCTGCTCCTTGAGGCAGCAGCAAAACTGGGAGGGGGAGGGGTGTGCACGTGATGTCATTTGTGTCCCTGCCCCTTTGTACGTACATGGTGCCTGTATCAAGGCCCTTGGCCACGTGGGGCTATGGCCTTGAACACAGCCCGGTTTTGGTGGCCACTTACAGAGCCACTGCCTCTCCGTGGCTAACATCCACCACTGGGCGGTAGCCAAGCCCCATCCCATGCCCCCCACCACCCCGCACCACCTGAACTTCGAGCCTCTTCTGCACCCCGGTGGGGCTTTGGCTGACCAGGTTCACCTGGAGTAGGCTCTGGGTCCCACCTACCTGCTGACTGGGTGCTGGTTGGTTCCCTACGTCTCCCTCTCAATGTGACCTTGGAAAAGTTGTGCCAGGATCCCAGCTCCATGCACAAAGCACTCGTTTCCTGTATTCCCACACACACAGGGTCCCTTCCCCAGGAGGCAAAAAGCATGGTAGGAAGCCCTGCCCACCCTGCTTAGGCTGCCCTGGCCCTTGGACCAGGTCTGGGTCCTTGCTTCTGTTCTCTTGTGTCTTTGTCCTATCTTGCCCCTTCCCTGGGGGAGCTCCTCCCTGAATGCCATCTTTACTGGGGCTACACGTTGGTCTCTCTTACCTGACTCTCAGCTTCCTCCTTTAGGCACCTTACTCACCTTGGGTGATATCCCAGGGTCCTCTAAGATCCTACCAGGTCACCTGCTGGTTTGTCTTGTGCACCTTCACCCCCATCCCACTGGGGGTCAGTGGTCCTTGGATCAGAACTGAGTGCAACAATGTCCAATCCCCAGCCCAATCGCAATTTTTCCAAGAAGGAAAGGGTGCCTCCACCAGGAAGTCCACGGTCAGAGCCTTCAGGTGGTCCCAGGGTGGCATTTTTGGGCAGAGCATTTGGTGGTGAGGAGGGGCCCAGAGAAATGGGGTAGTCTGAGGGGGTCTGAGAGATGGCCTCTTCCTCTGAGGTCTCGTTCAGCGGCCATTTGATTGGGTTCCAGCGGGTATGGTCTGTGCACAGGGATTACCCCTTAAGCTTATTCCAAGACACCTATCACCCCAAACCTTCAAGAAACTGAATCTCCAGCTCAGAGATAATCCCATGCAGTGCTCAGTCACGGTGGCTCCTAGGGTTACTTGGAAGGGCACAAGACCACTCCTCGATGGGAAGGGGGTACATGAGGGAAGGATACCTAATAGACCAAGGTGGGTGCAGCAAGAGCCAGCAGGGTGCACGGAGGCCCCTGCTGCATGGGGGCCCTGCTATGCCACCCTCTAATTGCCCACGCCACCACTGCTGCCACAAATCCAGTGACACTGGCCTCACTGAGGCTTTCTCGGTTGCCCCGACGTCCCTGCTGCAGTCGGCTAATTTGCAGAGATGCCCCCACGCTCCCTAACCCTTATAAAGGCTCAGTCTTGGGGTTGAAGCCTCCTCTCCTGGACTTCCCTACTCAAATTCCAGCACTAGGGCACCTGAGGTTTAGCCTCGTGGAGTGGGGGTTCCGTAGTGGTGGGTCCAGGCCACGGGCAGTAACCACCAGGACACCAGCTATGTGCAGAGCCCGTGCCCCAAACTTCCAGTAGGGAGCCCGAGAGAGACGCTGGGCATCAAGACGGATGGCAGCCTGCCTAGCTGCTGCTCCCAGTCCACAGGGTTCGCCACTTCAGCCCCACCCCTACAGGCCTCTCCCCGCGCCCAGGACGGGAGACACAGCCATCTCTACCCTTCCTGTGGCTACTTTATTGCCTTCGAGCCTGGATGAAGCCCGCAGGCGGTGGCCCCGGAGCGAGCCCGGAGTCCCAATAGGCCGCCGTGCCCCTCAGCCCGCCGCTGCCCTGGGCCTGCCTGGCCGACGTCCGGTTCTGCGGCCACTTGCGCACAGACCGGCCGCGTCCCGAGTATTCCGAGAGTGAGCAGAAGCTGAGTGTTCCGAGCGCGGCCTCAGCACAGCCTGAGCCCGGCGGGCGCGTGCACTACCAGCAAGTGCGCAGATGCACGCCAGCGCCGCGTATCGCCTTCTACACCCGCGATAGCAGCTGTGCGGAGCGGCAGCCAGCGAGGCGGAGGAGCAGGCGTGGTACAACGCCCAGCTCGAGGCACTAGGCGCCGCCAGTGAGGCCCGAGCCCCGGGCTGCCGGAGGCCCCGGGGGGCTTGTGGCTGTGGTTTCTCCATGGCTCGCCCCTCCCCTGGGTCACCGAAAGTTCAAACATTAAAGGATTTGCAGGTTTAGAGTTCTCCGGGCATAGGCCAGGCGCCGTGGCTCACATCTGTAATCTCAGCACTTTGGGAGGCCGAGGGTGGCGTATCGCCTGAGGTCAAGAGTTGAAGACCAGCCTGGTCAACATGGCGAATCCCAGTCTCTACTAAAAATACAAAAATTAACCGGGCGTGGTGGCAGGCGCCTGTAATCCCAGCTACTCGGGAAGCTGAGGCGGGAGATTTGTTTGAAAAGGGCAAGCGGAGGTTGCAGTGAGCCAAGATCGCGCCACTGGACTCCTGGCTAACAGCCGGATCCTCGCTCCATTCCAGGTGGTCTGGCTCCTGACGCTGTGGCCCAAGTTGCTGGGGGGGGGGGGGAACCCAGGGCCTGGGTAGCGGCTACCGCCTGTGCTTGAGCTCCGCGGCAGAGGCTCCCTGGATGCCCCGCACCTGCCCCTGCTCAGTGAGCGCTGCTGCGGCCACGGGGATTGTCTTCTTCCTGGAGCTCGGCTGCTCGGCCGCTCCCGGGGAGCTGTGGCTGCAGGAGCCCGACACGCGGCGATGGCCCAAAGCATTCACGAGACCATCCTGGTGGCCATGAAGTGACTCCGGAGCGGTGGAGTCGCCGACAGAGCTGAGTCAATGCCCAGAGACCATGCGATCAGCGCTTTCAGACTCCCTGTCTACCATCCCTGAGACCTCGGCTTTTTCGGCCTAGTCAAGTGGCCTGAGCCATTGGGGGTGTCTGGGAGAGGGAACCCAGCAAGCAGTCCTGAAGATCTTGGCAAACCTGGGAGGGGCAACCTTGTACCCCAAGGGGGCTACGTAACCAAGGATGTGGGTAGTGACTACAAGCCCATAGGAACTATCCCTACAAGTCCGAGTTGGGGAGTTTGGACCCAGGCCCAGGGGCACCCATCATGGTGTGGGGGGTGGCTGGGGATGGGTGGGGGTTCAGCACTGCTCCTGCCCCCCTTGGAGCTGGCTGGGGAGTTAAGTGTGCATCAAGTTTGCAGCTCCGGAGAGCCTGGGAACATGCACCACCAGGCTGGAGCCCCTGACAGCTGCCTCAGTTACGTGGACCTGGACCTGGTCCCTTCTCTGGGGGCACTCTGCCTGCACAGCTACACGGGCATTGAATTCTAGAGCTCCCGGGAGGCACCAGTGAGGAGACCTGAGACCTGGGTATCTCTCTCCTACTGACTGATGGCGAGGGTTGATGGAAAGATGGGAGGGAAGGGCATTGTAATGTCCCCCCTAACCCCCCATCATGGGAGGGGCTCTAAGGCCCAGATGCCACCTAGGACATGTGACCGGCAGGGCAACAAGCTGGGGCCTCTGCCCTCTCTGTCCCTTCCAGCTGTGGCTCCTAAGTCTTGAGTAGGAGGTTCTCCAAGAAGTTGGGCCTATTTTATGGGAGAAAATTCTAGAACCCATCCCTGCCCAAACCACTGAAACGACACACTTCTGGGCTTTCTCAGCTGAAGCCCTGGTCCTCTCTGTTTCCCTGCAGAGTTGGTGCAAGAATCTGGAGTCTGAGGTCGGCTGTGGCAGGGCTGCCTTCCACCAATGATGGCATTCACGTGTACTGTCACCCTCCCCCACACACCTGCAGTGCATTCTTTGGTCTCCTTTGAGCCAAACAACTAGCCCAACCCAGCCAAGAACTGAACTCTCAAGGCCCCAGCACAAGAGGTGTGGGAGTGCCAGAGATCTTACTGCTAGTGCACCCTAAAAGTGAGTCGCCCCTACTTCCCTGCCTGGCAGAGTTTATGACTCCTTGCTTCCTATACAATCAGCCCTGCAATGCCATGCAGACCACCCACCCACTCATTAAAGGGGCTCTGGCCGGTCAGCCCAGAAACAACTTAGGTCATGGATACCCCTGCCCTCCACCTAACACAGCAGGGGGCGGCCTGCAGTGGGACAGAAAGAGACCCCATTCCTGCTTCTATGCCTTCCTCTGCCCCGGCCACACGGAGCCCGTTTTGCAAACCAACACTTTTATTGTCAACACAACCAGCCCACCCTGCTCCAAGAAGGCTATGAACAATGGGTGTCTGGGGTCTGTGGGAGAGAGGGGTCAGCACTGTGAAAACGGCTGGGGCCATCTCAGGGGCTGGGTGGGTCAGAGGCAGGGTCTGGGGGGCCAGCAGCGGGTGTGGCAGCCGCGGAGGAGCTGGGCCTGGGCTCCCCCTGGCTCATCTGCAGCAGGCCAGTGAGAGCTATCAGCTCTGGCCCACTGAGCAAGGCGGTGGAGCGGCCTGGGGAGGGTGACAGGCTGGGGAAGACCCAGGGGGACATTATGGGGGGTGGCGGCAGCAGCTTCAGGGAGCCCATCACCTGAGGAGAGAGAATGGGATGTGTTTCTTGCCAGGCCCGCCTGGAGGCTGGGGTGAGGCCAGGGAGGGGAATGGGCTCTCACCTGCTGGGGGGCCTCGGAGAGGTACAGGGGGACGCGCTGTCCCTGGGGCAGCAGAGGGTCTGAGAAGAAGACGTCTTCACAGCACATCACCGGGAACCCTGGGGAGGAGACACCACTAGGGTGGCGGGCTAGGGGCTCCCACCCCTGGACGCTGCTTCCCGGAGGAGTTGGGGCAGCCTTGCACCCAGGCGGACTGAGGGAGGTACCTGCATCTGGGTGCACCTGCTGTCCATTCTGAGGCCCTGTGGCAAGGGCCATGGGCCGGGGACCCCTGCCCGAGGCTGCCTCATACAGCGGCCAGAACGAGGGGTGACATAGCGTCCGGCCTGAGAAGGAGGCTCCTGAGCTACAGTTGGCCCCCTGGTGGGAGAACAGAGCACTAGAGCCTCAGGCCACTGCAAGGTGTCCCTGTGTGCCCCAGCCAGCCCCACAGGTTTCCCCCAACTCACCCACACCAGCCGAGGCCCTGCTTTGGCTTCGTACTTGGGGTCCCAGGGTGCTAGAGGAGTCATCCTCGAGGGGGCCTCCTCCCAGGTCATCTGGGGGGGAAGGGGAACTGGAGGGACACTTGGGGATTACAACAGGCTCAGAGTCAGTGAGAGAGGCTCTTGGGGGCAGTAGAAGCAGCAGGGCCAGTCCTACCTGGGGCTCCGAGGGGCTGCTCAGTGGCCGGACCTGGCGGATGGCGGGGCAGCAGCAGCTGCTCTCTCTGGGTCCAGGAATGTCTGCGGGATGGGGGCTGTGGGCTGGAGGGGCAGGGACTGAAGCTGCAGCCACCCTGCCCCCACACACATTCCCCTGTAGCCCAAGGGTGCCTGGTGCAAGGGAGGCCGACAGACCCAATCTTCAGCAGGGACAATGGAGACGCCTCCGTAGAGCGCGGGCGAAGGCATGGAGGCCCCAGTCGCTGTCCCCCCCCCCCCCGTGGCTCCGACCAAGCCCCTCACCTGTCCTGTGGGGGTGTCCCCAGCTCCCTGGGAGCGTCCGCTCCTGAGCTCCAGGCCTCACCCTGGTCCCTGCTCGCGGTGGGGCCTGGTCCCTCGGGCGCCTCTTCCGGGCCCGCGCCCCACCGCCGTGGCGACCAGGGCAACATGCCGTGTCCCCGCCGCCTGTCCCGCTCAGGCTCCCTCCCGGCGTGGCGCGAACTGGCCCGCGTGGCGAGCTCACGCCCGAGACCTCGCGGCGACGCCGGCGCCCTGTGCGTCTCCCGACCACGTGGCGCGTGCCCCCGCCGGGCTACCGCAGGCGCCCCCTGGCGACGGGGCGGAGAATCCCCGAAACAGAGGCTACCCCGCCCCCGAGACGCGCGTGCTCAGACACAGTCACACCTGAGGGCCACCCAGAGGACTTCTGGCTTCTGTTTATTGCAGTTGACACGACACCTGCGACACCCGTGGGCCTTCCACCCCCGGCGACGGCCAAGCCTGAAGGCCAAGGGGTCCCAGGCTGCCCTCACTGAGTTCTTGTCTCAGAGCATGGAGCCCAGGTGCGTCTTCTATTTCCCGGGTCCTAGGCGGGGTGGGCCCTGTGACCCCACCTTCACCCCTAAGGCCGGTCCAGCAGGGCGTGGACGACAGCAGCGATGTAGGGGAGGCCCCTTCCCGAGGCCCCCTCCTCCTCCAGGATGTGGTGGGGCTGGCACAGGGACTCCTGGGGGAAGGGGCCAGGTTAGCTTCCCCAGTGCCCCCGACGACTTCCCACCCATGGCAGGGGGTCGGGGGCAGGCCCGGGCATTCTGGGAGACACCGTGCACTCGGGGCTCGGTGACAAATGAGACCCAAGAAAGCTGTCAGCGGTAACAGAAAGGAGAATGACATAGGGGCTGAGGCTCCGGGAGCATGAGGCTGGCATCTCCAGAGGGAGATGCACAGAGCCATGGCCATGGCCACTGCCACCACCATGGAGAGCAGACGTGTTCGCACACAACGCGCAGATGCGTTCGCGCACACGCAGACCAGACATGCTCATGAACACACACACACATACACAGGCAAGACGGCCACAGTCTGTACAGTTTATACACAGAGATAGGAACCCGGACTGGGCCCCACACCCCTACAAATATAGATCCTTTCTACAAAATAAGAGATAATTTAGCCCCCCATAGCAGCTGGCAGGGGGAAGAGCATAAAAAGAAGGGGGCGACTCCAGCTCCTGCCACCCCTCAAGGGGCACAGAGAGCAGGGGCAGGGCCAGCGGGGGTATGAAGGCACCGTCAACACTGAGAGGTGGGGACTCATGGGGCTACCGGAGGGAGGCCAGAGGCTGGGGGCCCAGGGTCTGGGGGCACCAGAGTGGGGCCTCTGAGGTCAGTGTCTATGAAGGGGTGCACTAGTGTCTTTGGTTGGGGCTGAAGGCACCGAAGGTAGGGTCACGTGGAGCAGGGGCCTTATAAATAGAAGGGGGGAGGGAAACGGGTGAAGGAGGGCTGATTTTGGGTCCTAGGAACCCAGGAGCCGAGTGTAGGCGACATAGAGCAGCAGCATGAGGACCACGTAGAAGACTATGAAGCCGCCTAGACCAGAGGGGGGCCAGAGGGGTGGCAGGGCCTTGCCCCCCACCCGCTTCACAGCCTCCAACACAGTCCGCAGCCCCCGGGTGGTGCCCTGGAGGAGATCCGAGGGCGAGCACAGGTCAGCCTGAGGGAAGAGGAGAGCAAGTGGACAGGGACAAGGGACAGACATCAGCAGCAGCAGCAGGACAGTCCCTCCCACCCCTGCCCTCACGTGCTGGGGCCAGAGCCACGCCCACATGCCAACGTGCTGGACAGGGAGTACAGGGCAGGGGTTGTCCTGGGCAGGTGACATGCAGGACAAGATGGGGCATGCAGGGCAGGGGACATATAGGACAGGTGACATGCAGGGCAGGGGGCATGCCGGGCAGGGCAGGGGCCTCTGCTTGAGAGCAGACACCAGGTTCAAATGGAAGCTCGCCATCCATGCCACATGCTTGGCAGAGCCGGGGATGCCACCACTCTTTAGAAAGCAGCCCCCATACCTCAGGCACCCCCATTTTTCGACAGGCTTCTAGGAAACTCTCCACGTTCTTCCGAGCCTTGAGGGCACTCAGTTTTGGCTGAGGTGGGTAAAAGAAGAAAATGTGGTAAGGTAAAGTCCACAGGTGCCTCTGGTCCATCCCCTACCCTCTCCCTGGCCCCAACTGACCACAGCAGGGGAGGGCACATGGATGAAGGGCACGGAGCGAGGCCGTAACTGGTTGGCCAGCTGGCACAGGATGACCCCGCTGGCCAGAGCCTCGGCCAGGTCCTCGGGCAGGGGCCGCTGCAGCCGCGACTCAAGGACCTGGGAGTGTAGATGACAGAGCAGGAGTGAGGGAAGGAGAGGCGTCTGAGAGGCAGGCAGAGCGGGGAGCTCAGAACCAGTAGGGAACTTGTGCCTGCCCCTTTCTGTCCTCAGGGGAAGTGCCAGAGTGGGTACAGAGAGTATGGAGGGAAGCTGGGTCCCAAGGACAGCAACACAAGGAGGTGCCAGGCCTAGGCCCCTGCCCATGCATCCCCCGCCTCTGCTCACCTGGCGCAGCTGAGTCATTAAGTCCTTCTCATCTGGAACCTGGGGGGTCTGCCGAGGTCTCAGGACAGAGTCTGGTGAGGAAGGGCCTAGGAGAAAAAGAGGGGCATGGGGCTGCCTCTACTGCTCACCACTGACTCTGTAGCTGGGTCCCGGTGGCCTGGCACCCACACCTCCCACCTCTCTGCTTGTGGGATTTTCTTTTTCATGGAGATGGCGTCTCACTATGTTGCCCAGGCTAGTCTTGAACTCCTGGGCTCAAGCAATCCTCCCATCCTGACCTCCTAAAGTGCTGCGATTACAGTTGGGAGCCACTGTGCCCGGCCTGCTTGTGGGATTTTCAACACAAAGGGACAACAGACCCAGAGGGCTCCCTGGGCAGAAGGTGAGGTAGTGGCTGGTGCTGGTGAGCACTGGGCCAGCACTGGGGAGGGTGGAGACACGAACCTGAGCCACTTTGAGAGGAGGAACGGAAGAGGAAGCTGTTTGGTCTCTGAATGGAGCCAAGCGGCCGAGGAATAGGTGCTGTCGCTGGGGCCAGAACCAGGGGGACAGCGACAGGAGTGGGTGAGATACCCATCCCCTCTGTGTCCACCTCTCCCAACCAGCCCTCACCAACACAGGCCCCTGTCCTCCTCCCAAAGTCCCTGTCCCACCTGGTCCAGCTATGGGAAGGGGCTCCTGGGAGGCGGGGAGAGGGCTGGGGGCTCCCTGCCCTGCTGCAGGCCCCGGTTGGGAGGCACTGGACTTAGGCGGGCCGCTGAGGAGAGACAGAAGGGAGTTAGAGGGCTGGTCATGGGAAAAGGAGTGGGGAGGGGATGCTGGCAGAAAACCTACTTGTGTGTGGCTTGAGTGGATGCAGCGGTGGCCACTCCTGCAGCAGCCCTGAGCCCCAGCTTCAAGACGCTGGAACAAGGAGAGGTGGGGTCAGCCAGCCCCAAGGCAGAACCACTTGGGGGAGCTCAGCGGCCCCATTTCCAGGGCTCAGTGTCCAGCAACAGCCCGGAGCGGCCCTGGGTCCCACCTATCCTTTCTGGGGGCCCCCCATGCCCCGCTCTGCTGCTGCTGCTGCTGCTGCTGCCGCCGCTCCCGCTCCTGCCACAGCTGCAACGTGTCCGGACGCCGCCGCTCCTCCCCTGCCGGTTCCTCCCGCCTGAGGGGCCAAGACAGGGTGAGAGAGGCCAACCCCAGGGTCAGGGGAGGAGGGGCTGGGGGATGGGAGGATCAGGCAGAGGTGTCGGCTCAGGGGCTCAGGGTACCTGCTGCTTGGTGCCCTCTCCCTGTCCCCTGCCCCGGAGCTTAATTCAGGTGGTTGCTGCTCCTGAGGAGAGAACAGGAGAGCTGCTGAGGGCGGGCCTCTGCCCACGCCTGCCCTGTCCCCTCCTCCAGCTCTCCTCCCTCGGGAGAGGCATAGCTGGGCCCTCACCTCCGCAGCGCCTCGCTCTTCATCCTCCCCAGGGACATGGCTGTCGATGAAGTCAATCTGCTCGGGGTCTCCGTCCGCTGGGGAGGCCAGCATGTCAGCAAGCAGGTGGGGACCCAGGCCCTGGTCCAGCCCAGCTCCCTGCCGGCCCTGCTACTCACCTGAGCCATCCTCCCTGCGTTCTCTAGGCCCCCGGGGCTCCCGGGCCAGCTCCGAGATCCGGAATGACAGCTCTGAAAATTCATCTGTTGACTGTAAAGGCAGAGGCAGAGGCAGAGGCAGAGATGGGAGATGGCCTCTCTACACATGGGGGCTTGGGGCCTTTGCGGGGCCTGTGAGGGACTGAGCCCAGGGTCTCTGCTAAGCCAGCCCTTCCCTGGGATGCTGGGGAGAGGAAAGGAAAAGGATAGGTCCAGCCTCTGTCTGGCACCCTGCAATTTTGAGGTCCCCAGTTCAAAGATGTTCTCCCAGGGCTGACACCCCCAATCTCCCATGGATAAGACACCATTACCTCATTTCCAGACCACCTCTTGCTGCCACTATCAACGCTGTGGAAGCCTGAGTCCAGCCCGCCATCGTACCGACGTCCCGGAAATAGATCCTCTGCAGGGCTGGGGCCAGCCAGGGAGATCTGGTCAGTATGATGCTGGACAGCAGCCCCCCATCCTCCCGCCAGAAAGCAGGTGGTGCCGGGGGCCGGGAAGGGGGATGAAGTATCCCAGGGCTTCCTTCCTTCCCACCTAGGACTTACCAGGGACTGAAGCTTGAGGGCCGGGAAGGGGCCAGGTCCCCCAGGGCCAACCCACGTTGCCCGGCCTCTGTGGACAAGTACTTGAAGATGTGAAGTTTCCCCTTCAGGCAGACCTGTGTGAGGGCAGCACATGTTGGGGAGTTGGGAGAGAGGGTGGCTCCCTGGATCCTGCTCAGCTACCCAAGGGGACCTACTCCACTCCTGCCCAGCTGCACCCCTGTCCCCATAGCCCCCGCCTCACCTGGGCAGGTGGGCTCTGCAGGGGGTTGCTGTCCAGCAGAATGACCTGCAGGTGCCTGAGTCGGCAGAAGGAGACCGGGATTCGGGAGATGCGGTTACAGGAGAAATCCAGGCGGACCAGAGGGAGGTCCCCCAGCTCTGGGCAAGGAAAAAGTCAGGAGCATGCTTAGGGCTGGGGCCTCATGCTCATTCCCTCACCCCTGGCTCTGGCTGGCCAGTCATCCTGGGCCCAGCACAGCCTCTCCCCTGGGTGGCTCAAGTCATTCCCCAGAAACAACCTCCCTGCTCCTCTCCCCATGAGTCTGGTCCACGGTCTAAGCGAGCCTCCCTGAGAGGGCCCATCCGGACATCAGTCAGCTCAGCCTCCCTAGGAAGGCCCATCCAGATGTCGGCTCCCACTCAGCCCTGTCTGTCCCTCCTTGTTTCCTTGCCTGCCCACCCCGCACTTGAACCCACTTTTCATTCTCAAATGATCAGCACAAGACACAAACCCTGCTCAAATACTTCCTGTGACGTGCAACCAGGGCTGCCAGTGTAGAGTGGGTTGTGCCCACCTGAGAGTCCCCTCTCCCCAGCACGGGCCCAGCCTTCACCAGGCTGGAGTGCAGTGCTGCAATCTCGGCTCACTGCAACCTCCACCTCCGAGGTTCAAGCAGTTCTTTGCCACAGCCTCCCAAATAGCTGAGATTACAGGCGCCTGCCACCATGCCCAGCTAATTTTTGTATTTTTAGTAAAGACAAGGTTTTGCCATGTTGGCCAGGCTGCTCTCGAACTCCTGACCTCAGGTGATCCACCCACCTCGGCCTCCCAAAGTGTTGGGATTACAGGCGTGAGCCACTGCGCCCAGCCTTGCTCATTCTTAAAAAGGCACATTCTGGATTGATGGTTGCCCTAGACATAGAATAAAAACCACAGCTCCCTAAACCCAGCACAAGCAAGGCTTCCATGATCTGGCTCCATGCACATTTCCCACCTAACTGTCCACCCCTCTAGGCCCTCAGCTTCTGAGCCTCCCCAGGTGCTGTTTGCACCTGTCCAATTTCCTGT